CACCAGATTGTGCAGTTTACACGATGCGATTTTTCCGAACAGATTAATCTGATAAGATAATTCTAATCGTATAAACCGGCTTTTATGTGTGTTCCATCAGATTAGTATTGAAACAAATAAACCTGACCATGCACCCGATCGATTCAATAATCACGAAAAACGACCACAAACACTTCCACATGCTTGATTATAAAGTTATGTTATATTTCACTGTTTTGAGATATGTGTAATTGAATTAACGATATAGGGCCGGTTGACGTGCATTCGTAAAAGTCACGAGTGAAACACATTAAAAAACTAAAATTAACGCGAAATAAAAAAAAAAACAAAAAAAAAAACATTTTTCTAACACGCTGCATGACTCGAAAAGCTGTTCATAAATACTGAAAAGTACAATTGGGTTTTAAAGCTCAGTGTACTAAAGTTTAAATCGCTTAAGATTAGATTTAGGGCTAAACAATTATTTGTAGGATAGAGTGGCTTAGCAATATTTCAACATTTTGTGCCTGTTCATCTGCCGAACGTTTATCGTGGAGCTGGTTTTCTAAAATTGTTACTAATCTCAACTATTAAAGGGTGATGGTCATTGCACCGTGTCATGTCCAATATGGGACTCACAGAAACGTACACAATGCGTGTAAAATACATTGTTTGGTTACATTATATTCGAACACCGCCCTTTAACAATAATGGTAAATCCCATATTCAGCCAGTTTGCACTTCGCGTGTGTATAAGTTGTACTCGTCGATGTCGTACTCTGTCGCTTCTAACTTGATTGACCACCTCCGGAATGTTCGAAGTACATGAAATCCTGAAAAATATCAACACAGAAAATATTGAACATATCAAGGACATAGTAAATCTTGTTGAATGGTGGCGTAATGTATGTGCACTTTTTCTTGTGACAATATGGTATGCATCTTCCAATGTAACATATATATATAATACTCACAATCAGGAAAACGGCACCAAGTAGAGTTGCTTTTATTTTCACATCAAGATCTATCGGAACTGAAATATAAGGTTTACATCCTCGTTATTAGAAATCCATTTAACATAGAAAGGTGTCTTGAGTAATGTTCTAATGGACTAAGCTAGAATATCACAGAGAGGGCATTGTATGCGTGACTAAGACTCATACAGCATTTAGAAACAAAATAAAGAAAATAGAAGCATTTTTGAGAATAAATAACCAATTTATATGTGGCATAATTGTATCCAGTCTGTAGCTGCAATATCAGGACGTATTAGGTCATCTGAACCCGTGTACTTACACGTGACGCCGAAGTTATCTGTATCAGTAAACATTTCCTTGAGAAGTCCTGGCCACTGTTTACTCACTCTGCCAATCTCATTGTCCATATCACGGCTGTAAACCTGCATCAAATGACATAGTTTATTAGTAGTGTCCTGTCCATTTTGAAATTGAGTTGGGAGAATTACCCCATAGGAGATGTTCAGGTGAATTCCACAAGGTAGAGTACTAGAACCGCCAATTTGAAAAACAAACTCCGGCTGGTTTTAAAACTACCGACAAACTCCGAGTGATTTAACGTGTCTTTGCCTCACATGACTGTTATTCTTCAAGATAATGAGTTATTTTTATTATAGAGAAAACATAGTCATGCACTTATTTCTTTGAAATAAACACACAAAAATCTACTAAACCCGACTGCAGTGAATGTATTTTTTTTGTCTTCTTAAATGACGAATGTGAAACTGAAATACAGATTGAGAAGGGTATGTAATTCCAAATGTTTTGACCGGTATAAATTTAGTCTTGGTATGTACTAGTGTTATCGTACGATTGTCTAAATTGTCTAGCAGGACCGTATTTAAGTAGAAAATCAAACAGGTAGCGTGACTATTGTCTATTCAGCCAATCAGCTAAAAATACCCAATTAAAGCTTGGTAACATCTAAATTTGTACTTGTTGATCTGCGCAAGTATAAGTCGCCATCTGTGTGTATAGGAGACACATATCCCAAACATGCGTGGCGCGACGACCGCTGCCTTTAACCTGGTAGGCACATTTTAAAAGTGATGAAAATTGTTTAAGTTCTAATAATCGTGAAACAATACTCACCATAAAGTTTAAATCAGCGGTACAGCATATGGTTTGGCATACACAACACGGTCCTTTGATTTTCAACACTGTTTCTCTTTCTGCATTCATTATGTCAAAATGTCCAATCCAACAACTCTGCCTGGAATTGTGAAAAGACTCAATTTATGACCAGGCAACACAATTGTTCACTGCTCTCAGTGTCCCCGTCTTCATTTCCTTCATTACAGGCTTAAATATTGTCACAGAATTTAGTATGAGAGGTACAAGTCATTGTGGGTTAATATCCCGAGTTATTTCGATTATTATGATTTGTGTATTGCACCATAAAACACATCTTACGTTTGTCTGACATATCCAACAATATTACCAATTGGTGCTTCTACTCGCAGTTCAAAGGCACAGCAGTCACTATTAGCACACCAACAGCATCCAGCACAACACTTAAACTCACGAACCACCCGAATCACCTCCTGTATATTTAACATGGACAGACAATGTGTGACAATACATATGACAAAAACATCACAGTGAGTTCAATTGACAATATATGGTGGCCAGTTCAATTGACAATACATGGTTTTCAGTTCAATTGACAATACATGGTGGTCAGTTCAATTGACAATACATGGTG